TTGCTGAGAAGATCATCAATATGTTCCATTATCTGCCCTCTATATCATTAGGGAGTCCAGAGCTGCATAAATATCAGCTTTAAGGAAAGCCTCTCATGAACATGATACTACTAATGCTTCAGATTAACAAAAGAATATCTACCAACTAACTTACAAACTAAAATCTACTCTGTTAAAAGCCTGGACTTCCAATGACACTTCTATGGTTTCAAGAAAAGCTTTCTCCTGCCAGGAAGAACTTTGCTATGGCTTTTAAATTATGGAGATGGGTGATTTTGAAGCTCAGAAAGTCTGATGATAATCATGACATCTTTGTTTCTGTGTGCAGATCTCTTCAGCCACCTCGAGAGCAACCTCTTGCAGGGGGTTGTTAATTACGAGGTTAACAGGACCACCCTGGAAGATGTTTTCCTGAAGTTAGAGGGTGAGGAAGCTATCAATCAAGAAGGTAAAATCTATGTTTGCCAGCTTGGTGTGATTTAAATTTCCAAATAGACTTTTTTTTTTTTTGAATGAATGAATGAATCCATACCTAGTTTCTGCTAAATGTGACTTTCCATAGTTTTCTGTGGGGCAACAATAACAGTTAAATTAAAAAATTAGATTTCCTTAAGTGACAAATATCTTTCCAGAAAAATCTAGACAAACCAGTCTCAATTTTCACAGTTTTTTAAGTATCAGAATTGAAGAATGATTTTGGAATGACTCTGAAAGTTGTTCTGCCTAGACCAGGAAGAGGTAAACTTGTCAGAGGACAATTGAAAAGACCAGCCAAGATGTTGTGTATGTAGACATATGAGCCCAGGTCCAGCAACTCTGAATTCACCCATGTAAACTATACTCTATACAAATTAGCACCCTTTTTCTCTGTTTTTTCTCTTGCTAAATATGAGTATTCCTAGATTTAGAATAGAAAATCTTTGCTCATTGTTCAGCAAAGCCTTAAAGCATGTCCTTTGAAACCTCCTTGTAGATGACAGTGTTTCTAATAATGAAAATACAGAAGATGGAGACTGCTTTGACTTTGAAGGGATGGACCAAAGTCTCCTGACGCTTTGGGAGAGAGGGAGAGCCACCGTCAGTGGCATGGAGCTCTGGAGACAACAAGTTCGGGCGATGGCAAGAGTTCGCTTCTTAAAGCTAAAGCATGACGGAAAACTACTCAGGTCCATGTAAGTCTGGAAGCTCTTGCTTAATCTGTGGCATTGATAGTTGTCAAAGTACCTGAATATACCCTCAAATGACTGAGGGGAGGCTTAAAAAATGGCTGAGATTTTTTTTGAAACTAAGTAGCTGGAAAACGTTTTTAAAAATATAGTAATAAGGTCAGCTAGAACCTCTTGGTAGAACTCTGAATTACTTTACTTCTCCGTTCTTAAATCTCCCATTGCCTTCCTCTGCTTATGTCACTGTCATATGTGAGAGGCAAAATGCTTCTGGACCTCATTTATGGTTTGTTTTTCCATCTAGATTGCTGCTGTTTGGAGTATTTATCCTTCCTTTGTTTGTCACTTTTCTTCTATTGCAACTGACGGAAGGATTCAATAACCTTGAGCTGACCGCTAGCTTGTATTTTGTTCCCACTGAACAGAAAGCTCGTATTAAATCAACAAATCTTCTCATCTTCAATGATACAGGTGAAAGAAGAACTTATTTGTCTTCTGCACCTCCCTCAATCTTCTTAGACTTGATAAAAGTAAATGTTCTTACATGTTCTGTTTCCTTTACATATTTATGGCCTTTTGAGGTGTTTTATTCTGAGCAAAACCAAATCAAATTATAATGATGATAACTGAATAGCCAAAATTTAAAAGAATATTTTTAAGGTAACAGGAATTAAATTAACTGTCCAAAAAAGTATTGTATTTAATCTGTTCAATAAAAATTGAAAAGATAATTTGCTCAGATTCTGTATGATATTTTTAGCATCCTTCTCCTGTGCTTGTCTGTAAGAAATGATCTATAAGAAAACCTTCCATTTATTCTAGTTTACACTCTTGGCTTGATTTCAGGATCAGATATTGAGGATTTCATTCATGCCTTGAAGATTCAAAAGATAGTGCCAGAAATAGCTGTTGAGAAAAACATCACAAGTATCCCGCAGTATAATGGAGCTATAAAAGTATCCCTGGAAGGCAAGGTGAGCAATAGTTCTTCTTCTTTCATTCTCTCTGTCCAGAGGATTCTCTGAAATGTGTTTAAATGAGGCACAGTGTAATACAAAGATCAGAAAAGGAGAAAACACTTATTTGCCATATTAGATGTTGTCAGTAATTCTGTTTGTGGGAAGCTGGTCTATATTTGGTTAATAAATGCCTGATATTGGCTCCAGCTCTGTTTGCATGGCTCAACAGGACTTTGAGGCAAGTGACTGTCACCTGGGTTCATTGCCATTAAGCCGCCTCTGAGCTTCTGCAAAGGTGCACCGCGTCCTACCGTCCTCAATGGAGGAGAAAGAGGGATTTTGGGAATGCTTTCCCTGCCCAGATCCATGGCTCCACAGGCAGCAGAGCAGCCCTGAGCTGTGCCTGTTCCATAAGATCTTTCCAGATATCATGCAAGACTGAAGGTTCAAGCCTCCCTGTTCTGCCTCCAAGATGTTTGAGGTGTCCTCCACCTTCCTGGAATAAACTGGAGCTTCTTTCCTTGGAGTTGTTTAATCTCTGGCAGTTTTTTTTATTTCTCGGAGAAAAAGACATTCTTTCCACTGAGTGGTTTTTACAGTAATCCCACTGTACTACACAAGATTAGTACCAAGTTTTTTGTACTCTTCTCCAAAAACATAGTTATGTTTATCCATATTTTTGCTGATGATTATTGTTAGCAGGCTTTCAGCTCTTAGCATTCTCACTCTTCCAAAAAACATGGTGGCATTTGTCATTGTTTTTTCCTAAAATCCTCACTCGGTTTAGCTCCTCCTCTCAACTCTCACCGGCATGAAGGTAATGTCCTTTGATCTTATGTCTCCAGCGCTACCACTACACGATCATGTGCAGTGCAGAGCCCATCAACTGTTTTCCAGTGCTCATGAATATCCTTAGCAACACTTTCTTAAGGCTCTTCAAATCCACAGAACGTATCCGCATCTGGAGTAACCCCTTTCCTCATGTAAGTGTCCTGCTTTTCTTGCTGGAAATTATTGGAAATGTTTAGCAAACTGAAGTGATAAGGACTGGATGGGTGGACTGCAAGGTGTTTGAAATCCAGCTGGACCAGCAAGCTCAAAGGTCTATGGTCAACAATATTAAGTCCAGCTGGTGGCCAATTACTGTCATTTCTCAGTAGTCATTACACAGGTTATTCAAAGAATTCCTTTCTCCAGCTGTTGCACTCCAGAGGGTTTCAATGCCATGAAACATGTTTTTACTGGGGAAGTGTTGACTGTTGATAATTTCTGAATTATGAATTTCTCTTCCATAGATAAAACACTCCGCTCTCATGTATGACACGTTTTATCGGTTCCTCTTGCTCATGCTCTTGTTGATTGCTGGTTTGCCTTCTCACTTTGCAATGAGTAGCATGGATGATTACAAGGTAAAATCATGCACTGAAACCATTTAGGCAAGGAGAAATTAATACAATTGTGACGTCTCTGGAGAGATTTTTAATCTTGCTTTGTTCTGCAATTTAAGAATCCTAAGGAGAAAAAAACAAAGGGAGTCGGTTTATTTTGAAGGCTCAAGAAAAATGCAGCATACATGTCCACAGCACAGTGCTCTTTGTATGGGCAGTGTTCCTATTCAGCAGGCTGGCCAGGATTGCTAGTCTGGAGTCCCAGAAGAAATGCAGCCACATGAACATAGGAAATAATAGAGGGCTTGGGGCTTCGGTTGGTTAGGGTTTTTGTTTGCAGTTACCTCAAGGCTCTGAAAGCCTCCTGGGTGCTTGTGACCAGAATCAGTACCAGTCTTTCTTTAATTTAATTTCAGTTTTCATGGTGACTTGTTTGAACACACCCTGTCAGGGAGGACCGGGGGCAGTTAGAGGGAGAGGGGAGCGGGAATGGGTTTGTCCGTCGCTGATTCCTCGAGCTGTTTCCAGTCAAGCTGGAAGCCTCCTGTGACAGCCCCACGGACGTGCTTCCCTTCCCCTTGGCAGATCAAGGCTCGCTCCCAGCTGCGGCTCACAGGGCTCTTCCCTTCGGCCTACTGGTGTGGGCAGGCGCTGGTTGACATCCCGCTCTACTGGGCACTCATCAGCCTCATGTTTGGGACTCTGGCTTTGTTCTGCAACATCACCTTCTTCAATGCCACCATTGTTCTGTCTTTTGTAAGTGTTTCATTTGCTGTAAAGCACCCTCCTACAAATGCCCCTCTCCTAGCTATTGTCTCAGGATATTTCTCTGTATGATGGGAATCACTATGCCATCCTTGCAAGGAGATGGCATTCAAAGTACTTTGTGGTCTGGAAGGATTCAATATTTTAATTGATCAGCTCTATCAAGGGCATTTGCTTTATCCACATCCATTTCCTGGTCACTAATATCAGTCTCTTTGTCTAGATCATTTGCGTCATTGGTTATGGAGTATCTCTTGTTCTACTCATTTATTTGATTGCATTTAAATTTCGCAATGGACGGAGCAATCGTTATTTTTGGTCTTTCATCGTTTTTGTGGTAAGTAAAGTGAATCTTCACTCTGCAGTATTTGGTTTACACATCAAGCCACCTGAGGTTCCACTCCACTGATATGCAGCAGAATAACCAAAATCAATGGCAAACTAGTTTTTAGCAATAGCTCATGAATTTTGGAAATACTTCTTTTCTGCTTTATTTTAGATTTCCTTGATTTTCGATATTTTTAGTAACCACGAACAAATCTTCTGTCTCGTCTTTTCTGCATTGATTCCTGTGTTTTCACTGCTGGGCTGGCAAAACTTATTTTTACCTGTAAGTAAACATATTCTGCTAAAATAAATACAGCTTCTTCGTGGCACAACATAGAAAGTAAGGTGTGCCACTGCCAGGAAGAAGGCAGTGTGTTAAACATACTGCTTGCCAAATGTCTGCTTTCACCCTGTGTAAATGGACACACACTAAGGAGATTTTCTAACTGACTGTTATTTTTTTCCCCATAGGGACCGTACGATTTTGACAGGGCCGAGGATTTAGAGCTGCAGAGTGAATTCTTTATCCCTGTCTTTGCAGTAAGAAGCAGTTTGATGATGGTTATTTTGTAAAAGGTTCTTCTTGTAATGCAATGGACTCGCGCTGGTCTATCATAACTCTTGCCATGAATAAAGTATGGCTTATGCAGTAAAAGTTGCATATTGAATGACGGGGAAGTAAATCTTGAGGAGTCAGGCGCTCATCTTTCAGGTGCCCATAAAATGGCAGACTTTCAGACAACACGTGAAAAGTTATTATTAAATAATAAACAGGGTAATGCTGCTGCTTCAAAAGAAAAATGTGGTATCTGATCCTGTAAGGTACCTCAAAAAGAGCCCTTTGGAGTGCTGTTCATTTGAGCTAAAGCTGCAATATAAATGATCTGCCAGTGAGGTGGAAATATTTGTGAAGCTTCAATTCAATTTATTTCCCTAGCTCTTCAGTATCTGAAGTAAATGAGATAGGTCTCAGCATCCCTTTAGAATTAAAATTAATCAAATGTGCCATTACTTGCCTCTGTTGAAACCTATTTTGTTATTTCATTTTCAGCCCTTTATCCACTGCGTGATTTTTGTTCTTCTACTTGGCTGCTTGGAGGCACGATACGGAGGAGCAGCTACAAGACGTGACCCCATTTTCAGGTCCGTGCCACACAGGGAAGGGGCTGTGAGCTCCGAGGGCCATGGGCTTGGTTGGTGGTGACCATGGTGGCCCGCTGAGAGAGGCAGTGTCCTCTATGCTTATTCCCCACCTGTTCGTCTTAGAGTGAGCTTAAAAAACCATGCTGCAAAGTGTGAATAAAGTCAAAATTCACTGCTCAGTGAATAACATTAGAGGAAATACTCTTTGTGGAGTGGCTCCCTTAATACCGATAAGTTGTGCAGGATATTGTATGGGCAGTACCCTGGGAATAAACCCATAAAATGCTCTTGGAGGCAATTTTCCGTGCCCCATCTCTGCTTGCAGGATGTACTGCGGGAAAGCAGTCACGCGCCAGAACAAGGACCATCCAGGAGAGGAAGCTGCAGAAGTGCAGGCTGAGAGGGAGCGCGTCAGGAGGGCGATAGCATCTCTGCCACAGCAAGAGGTAAACCGAGGTCCTGGAGTCTTCCCTTTCTCACACTCTGTCCTCTGCCCTGTCTCTGCTTTCTTAGTTTATGCACTTCTGTTACACATCTTTTGATTTTCAAGCATTAACCGAGCCCACAGTTAGTTAGTGCAGAATTAGTTCTCAACATAATGGTGAGAACAGGTGAGCTGCCTCCTTTGGTAGCAGGAGGGTTTTTAATTCCCATTTTGTTTCTACACAGGATCCTGTCATCGTCAGTAGTGCACGCAAGGAATATGAAGACAGGAAGGCCTGCTGCTTTTTAAAGAAAAAAAAGAAAGTTGCTGTCAAAAATCTCTCTTTCAGCATTAAAAAAGGTTCAAGTGCTTTGCTGCAACTCTTAAAAATGACTGTCTCATGCAAAGGTCATGTTTGGAGACCATGTTTTTGTTACAACTTCCCCACGTATAACCAAGCCTAAGGCATGATGCACATTCTACACCAAGGTCCTTAATTCCATGGGTTTTATTTTCTGGGATATGTTAATGAATTCCCCTTTCTTCCCTTGTAGTTTTAGATATTGTCTAGCCCATGGGCATGGAGTCTCATTAACAAATCCTGCATATCTGTTGCAGGAGAAGTATTAGGACTGTTAGGACCCAACGGAGCTGGAAAAAGCACAACTATGAATATGATTTCTGGAGACATAACACTGACTGCTGGGGAGGTAAGTGATTTCTTTGGAGCAGTTGGAGGATAACCTTGATGCCTTTAGAAATGAAAAATGGGAAAAGGAAGAGCAGCAAAGCAACCTGGTAATCAGGAGCTTTAAAGATGCACAAAATTGATGGATACAGAAATAAAATGCTGATTGCCTCAAAACATATTCTAGTTTTCATTAAAACTAATGTTATAGTGTTAACAGTTTGAGCTAAGCAAAATTTTTAATGTGGTTTTGAAGCCAATCTTGATATTTCGCAAGCACTGTAAAAAATGTTGACATCTTAGTAAACAGTACTGTTTTCATAAAGCCTGGCAAAGGCAGGAAGTTAAAAATGAATACCAATAGGGTTGGGCCAGTAACAATCCATCATGTGCATGATGATTAATGAAATGTGCTGTTGCTGCTACAGCTTTGTGGCTGAAAGTTTGAAATGTAAATATATATATATACATATATATATATAAGGAGACAATAGTCTGGTGTTGGTCCTGTTCCCCAAAGCCTTGGTTTTGTATAACACCTTCCTGCATCCGGATGAGCAGATGTCATGACTGATGCAGATTATCATTTGAATAATGCTGGACTTTTTTTCCATGTGTGTATGAGGTCCATATTATTTCATGCTGTAATACAGGAGAAAACATTCAGGGTTTCAAGGGGCTAGTTTTTTCAGGCCAGAATAACCCAGAGCCCTTTCACCATTGTGTTTGTGCAGGTGCTGATCCAGGGCAGCGATGCCTCTTCTCCAGGCCAGGACAGCGCTGGGTTCCTTGGGTGCTGCCCTCAGGAGAACCCGCTCTGGCCCGAGCTCACGGTGCAAGAACATCTGGAAGTGTACGCTGCTGTGAAAGGGATGAGGGATGAAGATGTGGCTGCTAACATCAGCCGGTATGGAACCAAATAGTTTCTGTTTTCTACTCTTCATCTCTGGAGTTAAAAGATGAGGAGACATGGAAAGGTGGTTTCCGTGATAAACCTGGCTCGTATGAAAAAGAGGTAGCATCTGCAATGAATTCCCTTCATTATGTTAGAAGAATATGACTTCAAAAGATGTCTGCTGTATCAGTGTTCAAATCCCTTGCATGTGTAGATTTTCACCCTAGTTTGTCTAGAAACGCTTCAGAAAGCATCCAGTCTTGCCTTTTTGGGGCCTTTACATTAATAGCTGCCCTTCTCTGATTAGCTGTACTTACTGTCATGAGCCTTTGCAAGAATTCTTTAATTTATCAGTAGAACTAGGAATACAGTTATCAAGTAACCCAAGGTGAGGGAATATATTATCTTTGATTGCAAGGATCCTCAGTACCCCTGACCACAGTTCACAAATGGAGATATGTATTTTGGTCATCTTCTATCCACTTTCCACAGCATAGCAGTGGCCCTGGAGCTCCAGAAGCATTTGAAAACAGAGGTTAGGAGATTGTCTATGGGAGAAGCAAGAAAGGTAAGTTAGATTTGTGCTCTGTAATTGACCAAATCCCTGCTTTTTCTCAAATATGATACACAAAAAAACCCCTTCATTCAAGCTAATAGAGTTCTTTGGATTCTGTATTGATGTCAGCAAGAGCAGAACGTGGTCCTTTTTGTTGCAGAAATTTTAATTTTTCTTTCACTTAGTAGAAATTTTCTTCTTGGGAGAAAGCCTAAAATTCTGTCATGTGTAACCCCTTCTGCAAACATGATGTGCTAAAGAAAGACCGCTGAATTGAAGTCAGTCTGCATTATTACAGCCCTTGCAAGGGAGTGGGTTCCTTCCAACACAGAAGTGCATACAGCAGGGTATTTCTCGCCTGATTTATTTCCATCACTATCTTCTGAATCCTCTCTGGCAGACTGCCCCATTCTCCTTTTTCCCCACTTTTTCTGGGCAATTATTTGACAAATGGTAGCCACAAATTGGATTTAGCAGATAGTCACTTTGTGCCCTGCAACTTGCATCTGCCAGGAAATAGGATGGAAAAACGCTTTCAAAACTTTGGCAGACCTGCATGTTTGGGGGAAGTTGATTTTGTAGGATTAAAACATTGACTCAGAACGCCTTGGGGCTCTTTCTGTTCTTGCTGCATTTTTGAATTAAGAGATTTGAATGCAAAGATTTGCAGGGGCAAATCTGGGTTTTAACTGAGGCAAACTCTGGGTTTTAGTGGAGCTGCCCAGGCAAAGTAAAGGCAGACCTGACCTGGGCACCTTTCCTGTTTCAGGTGAGCTTTGCGCTGAGCGTGCTGGGCAACCCAACAGTCCTGCTATGGGATGAGCCGTCCGTAGGCATGGACCCCAAAGGGCAGCACCAGATGAGGTGAGCAGTGCTATTTTAGCAGAACAGAGGGGAATACAAAAGGTTACAGATTTATAGCCGTAACAAAATGAGTCTGATCCTCACTGTTGTGGTAACTGTTGGACAAGCAAATAGCTTCTGCTCCAGTGAAAGATGGAAATGTGAAAATGTTTTCCCTTTTCCTAGTTGCACTTCCTAAGCCTATGTCTCAGCAGGCAGTAAATCATTGCTAGCAATCAGATGTGATCTTAGTCATAGCATCATTGAAAAAATATTAGTGGGCTCCAACAGGAACCACACATTTGGTACGGAAGAAAAAACTTCTACTTTCTTCAGAGTTTGTGACAAAATTATAAGTAGTTCTCCCTTTCCAAAAACTAGTTGGCCATTCAGGTCTAGTATTTGCTGTTATTTTTCAACAGCTGTTTTACCTGAAATTGTAAAATTTGGAGGGATGCTGACATGACAAATTGTAATGTAGCCTTCGCATTCACATGTCATCTCTACGCAAGATAACTTAAGCAGCAATGAGAGATATGCCAAGAAAAACGGACTCTGTGCTCAATTTATTGTAGTTAGAGCAGGTACAAAAGGTATTTAGTAACTGCTTTCTCCATGCAAGCTCTATTTTATAGAAGTTGTTGAGAGCAAAGTTAGGAAAGCATTGCTCTTTTGCATGTTAGTGGAAATTTCCTTTGCCACTGAAGTCTTTTAAATGTTAATCTGTTTTTTATTATTTTATCACTTAGTTGTTTTTGAGGCAAAAAATAGAACAGGAAGTTTTCTGTAGGTGGAAATAACTGTGATCCCTCTGTTTCCAGGAAAGCAATTCAGACAGCGCTGAAGAGCAAGGAGAGGGGAGCCATGCTCAGCACGCATGACTTGGATGAGGCCATGGCGACGTGTGACCGGGTGGCCGTGCTGGTGTCGGGGCAGCTCCGGTGGGCACTGGGATGGCACCATTCACTGGGTCTCCTCCAGCTTAGGCGCTGTCCTCATCACTGCTTTTAGTTTACTCTTACTAATCTAAGAGAAAAATGCTCATTTTGGTGTGCTTTGCCCAATGTGAATCATGACCATGGTGTAAATGGATGAAAAATAAGAGCTGTAGAGTTTCTGCAGCTCTACAATATTTAGAGTGCTACAGAACTGTAGAGTATCTACAATATCTACATATAAAGCAGTATATCTACTACTTGGATCCAGAGATCGCGTTTTTGATGCTCACGATGGCTTTTCCTTCATGACTGTTTTCCTTTTTCCCTCCTCTGCAGCTACATTGGCTCTGCTGAAGATCTGAAATGTAAGCTTGGTCAAAGTTACTACCTGGAAGTCACGACGAGGGACGCGGGACACCGCGCCTCTGCTACCATTCCATGATTTAGCTGCCAATAGAGTAGCAGCTCCTAAACTCGCTGCAGAGTAACAACATGATGGTTTTTTTTTTTTTTAGTAGTTCTTCTTCTTTGCTGGTCTACAAGATACCCATGAAAAATGTCCTTCCTCTGTCCCAGTCTTTCTCCAAGCTAGAAGCAGGTAAAAGGAGAGTGAAGTAAGTATGAAGATAGCTTACAAATTGCTCATTTGGGTTTGATCTGTAACTATTCCTTCTCCGTCCCTCCATAGCTAAACGAAATAGGAGGCTTGAGGAGTACAGCTTGTCTCTGCGCACCTTGCAACAGGTAGGTCATGCAGAACTAGCGCATGCAGTTGAGGAGTCTGGGCTTCATGCGTGGCAGAGACAAATATCCCAAAAATGGGACTTAGCCAGACTTAAGTGCTGAGGTGGAGTGGGAAAGCCTTTGCCACCGCATGCTGACTTAAGAAAGCAGGCATGCAGTGTGCCTTTGCCATGCTGAATGTTTCATTTGGTTTATAAAACATATTTAATTGCTGTGCAGCTTGAAGTGCATGAAAAATGACTGCCAAATTATCAGTTAAATGAGTTTTCTTGGGAAAGAAATAGTTATTGCAATTAAATGTCAAAGACATTCCTGCAAGTGAGAGGTTACACTACTGCTGAAAAGGCATCATAAAAAAACAAATTCAAATCTCACTATGCAGTTTGAAGGGCGATGTTGATTTCTAAATAAGTTCCAGAAAACAGATACTGATGCTTTAGAAAAAAGACTCTTACAGTGTTGATTTAAAGCTTGGAAAAGAGAATGCTGTGCATGTTAGAAATAGATCTCATATAGCGTAAATCTAGTTGGAAAAAAATACATAGGCAAGAGTAGAAATTATTTTTATTTAAAAAAAAAAATTAGTATGATCAGTGTTAATACTGTCATATCCTTGGAAATTACGTGACTGTTTGTGTTGCGGTCCATTGCAGGTATTTGTAGACCTCACCACGGATTTCGAGGAGCATGACCAGGATGAAGTGTCCAGTAAAGCTCAGGATCAGAGACCTCTTCATCCCAGAGATGTTTAAGCCAGAAAGGAAAATTTTCAGTATATTTTATCAGTACTATTAATATTAGTATGTGTGATTTATTAGAGTCTCAAGACTTGGTTATCAGCATAACAACACATACAGCTCTGCAGGTTCCGCTGAACCAACAAATACACTTGTTTTTTGATAAATAAAGCCTTGATTCTCTGCCAAATTTGTATCTGTAGTTCATCTGTAACCCCGTCCAGACTGTGAGGCTTGTTTTGTTGAAGAATAACCCTACCAGAAGAAATTTTACTTCCCAAGCCATCTCATCAGAACAAGTCGAAGGACCCAGTGCTGCTGCTGGAGGAGGTCTCAATCCTCCGCGGTGGATGCAAACGAGAGCTTTAGCTCAGGGCTGAGAACGTTCCCCTCGGCAGTGCAACAGTGGTATATTTTGGAGCTCAGGGAGGTGTTTTGTCCCTCCAAAGCAGCTACGTCTGTGTATTTCAGATGCTCTTAAGCCAGCCTGGCCTGTCTCTGGTCCCTACCCCTGGTGAGATGTGGCAGGGAAGGATGTTGGTTCTGACCACTTCTGCACACTCCTGTTGTTTAGGCTGAATTTGGGAGCCGGCAGTGAGGAGATGGGTGCAAAGTTGTTACCTCTTTTTTCTCCTGTACGCTGAGTTCAAAGACATTGGTACAGAGCATCTGCAAAGGGTCTGCACATGGGGCCATGGGTCTATCGCTGCTGAAGCTGGAGCTCTGCTGCTCCAGGTGTGGATGCAGGTGTGGATGATGCAGGCAGAAGCTGGTGTGGAGGATGTAGGTGGCAGATGCTGTGGATGATGCCCAGGTGGATGTCAGTGTGAATGATGACCAGCAGATGCTGGCCTAGACATTGCCAAAGGCAGGGGATGCCGGCATGGTCAATGCCTGGGTGGAAGATGCCAGGATGGATGATGCCTGGGTAGAGGATGCTGGGATGGAGGATGCTGGGATGGAAGACGCCAGCATGAACAATGCCTGGATGGAGGATCCGGGATGGATGATGCCCTGGTGGAAGATGCGGTCAGGGGGCACAAGCAGAGCGGGCTGCCGGGTGCCAGCAGGTGGCTGCAGCAGCTCAGCAATGCGCTGCTCCTGCTGAGGAAGGCTGCCCAACAGACCCAAAATGCTCCTTTTCACAGTAATCTTCAAAAGAAAGGAGATGAGCAGGGAAGTGGCAAAAACTTGTCTGCTCCATCACTCAAAACAAGATTTTTTTTTCTCCCCCCCCCC